GAATGTAATTTGACCATGGGTAGTCTTTACTCGACTGCTGGCAAAGTATACATATCGGGCGTATTTTAGCGAACTTGTTTTTTATTCAGTGAAGGACCACTCAGTAGGAAACGCTCATGATGAAAAGTCTAAACCAGCTGGTTAAGAACCAGGATGCGATTCATCCAAAGAGAGGACCAAAGGGCCAATCAAAGGCCACAGAAGAGGAACGCAGATGTTGGTCTTTGCTTGGGTTGGACAAACTGAGCAACTGCTTTGATGACCATCAGCTCATGAGTGTCTGGTTACTTATTTATTTATTTATCTATTTATTTATTTATTTGTTTAGTTAGTTAGTTATTTAGGACAAGATAAGATTTGTCCTAAGGAGCATGGAACCCAAGCACTTTGTGAAGAACAAAATACTGTTGGATAGAAAGTGTTTGACCATCCCACTTTAAGTGCTTTGCATCTATGGCCAAAAGCGAATATTGAAAAACCACGTGATCTAGATATTTCACACTGGACTACAAAGACCAAGCTGGATAAGTAGAGAAACAACTCAGCAACTCATTATGGCATGGTTTTTGTATCAGTTCTCCCGCGTCAATCGCCATTCCATAAAACATTGATGAGTACTGTTGGCTCGATAACGCTCGGCCAAGTTGCGATTCGCCCTTTTCACCCGTATCAGTTGATGAGTTCAAGTAAATAGTCTGAGTGTTGGTGAGTGATCCGATGGTTCTCTCTGAAGAACTACTAATCCTGATGAAGAACCTGATTATCGCCGAGGCATCAGTTAGAGTCTTCAGCGAATATTTTAATGTAAGGCGTCCTAGGGAATTCCGTCTCGCTAACCCTTTTGTCTTTTTTGGAACTCACCATCACACAGCTACTAATGAGCCACAGAAAGTCAGGTTTTGACAGAAACAGTGGTGCCAAATTGTAATGAGGTTTAAGTTCAAACTACTTGCCGAGTTCGAGTCTCCCTGGAGTTTCCTGATGTTTGCACTGCTCATGATTCCCAATTAGAATGAGACGGCTGTACGGTGCTTCTCGGCTTTTCAGCATAGCCTGGCTTCACTGAAAAGATGAAACCTCTGTTGAAATTGAGGAGACCCACAGCTAATTCTTACGTCAACCATCAGTCGACACACAGTGGGAGTGACAAGTCTTTGTTATCTATGAGTGCCGGCTGCATGTAAACGTCAAATTTCAATGGATTCAGTAACTTCTTGGGTTGCAAGGAGTTAACTTCGATGGACGGCCGATGTGCTTTGTATTTCGGCTGCTGGACACGTCCCGGCTTCACCCTACACCGTCCTATCACTCTGAGTCACACTGAGAAAATCCTCAATTTTATTTTACACAATCCGGTCGCAATCGGCTTCAACATCTGCTACTGTGTTCCAGGTAGGCTCGTACAAGTCTTCTTCTGATAGCAGAAACTAAAAGCCTCGCTAGGGTTCCCATCTACACTCATGTAGAATTTTATCACTATCTCTGAGCTATAACCCTACGCAACATAAACGTTCTGGAATGCTCTGAAGTTGAGAGGCAGGAGAAAATGGTTGGTGCTCACAAAACGGCTCTTCACTTGACAAACAAAAATAGCTTGCTCGCTATTCTTTAGAAAGGCACTGAAAGCTCGGTTGGACAGTCACTGTTCTTCATAGAGAATCCCCAAAAATTTCAGTCGACATGTGATCCTTATGAGTGGGTGATCTTTGTACGGGGGGAGGCGGCCGTACGGTTGTTTCAGGACTCAGTAATCAGTATGGATAAAGCTAACACATTCAGTCACTACAGGTTGTACCCGTTTGCGTAAGAGAGAAATGATGTCAATCCAAAGCTTGCAGGTCACGAATTCCACTCAGAACCCCCCCCCCCCGGGCAAAATGAAGTAGACGGTCGAGTGAACCAAAATGTTCTGTAGTCAATTTCATTTGTGCTGAATATTTCCGAAACCAAGACCAAGTGTGTGGTTAAGATACTAAGCTCTCAACAAGGGACACCGCATCAACAAATAACGTACTTTCAGGCAACCTCATACAGAGAACACAATTTAGATGAGGCCGGTTCCTCAATCGCAAAACCATCCCTATTCTTATTAAGAGTGGTCGTGCCAAACTTTGCGCCATATCTTATCTGAATTATCAACCTTTGTTAGCTGTTTAACTTTGGAGACTTGTGGACATCAAGTGGTTTTGACCAATCCAAAAGGCCAGTAGAGGCAACCTCGTAGAATTCGGAAAGTGTGAACGTGAAACTGTTCCCCAGGATGGAGGGTGAGCGTTTGCTAGCGTTTAACTTACGTACCTGTTTATCCAGAGCCCTTCGGCATTGGTTCAAGATCCACCCAACTTGTTATCAGCCAGTAGATATCCTTCCAGTTCGTCCAACTCGGTCTGTGTGAAGCACAGGCCCCTTGACACGTGACCGACTTTTCCCATATCATATTTAAAGTCTGTCACATCGACCGATAACTATTTGTAAGCTAAATAAACTCAGACAAATGGTTTGTGCGAGAGATTCACCTGGAACTCAGCTGAATCTCTCTCATAAACGAGAGATTCAGTTGGGTCTGTCGCAAAATCAAATTTGTTTGCAAATGAGTGTAGTTCGTTAATTTCGTGCAATTTGGCCTCAATTAAAACATAAGGTTGACGGAAACTCAGGGACTGCGCCTTCCTGATTAGCCCCAAGAAGGGCGAGACCGGTCGTGGGCTGTCGACGAATTTTCAGCAACATTTTGAGTAGTGCATTACAAATATATACCAATTTGCATTCACACGGGAAAATTTTAACCAGTATCTTTCCGGGTCTAGATTCTGCTGTACAGCACTAAATCCAGGTATCTTTGTGGATTTCAGAGACCCGGGGACAGATATCTTCGAAGAATATTTGAACTTAGAAGGTGACCACGCCACAGCAGCGGGAATTATGACCAGTACATCTTCCAAAATCAGCAAAGAACCACTTCCATTCAAAAGCCATTAACCGGCAAAATCCTAAAGGATGTTTCCTCAGATCCACCCAGTGGACAGTGCAGGATGCCCGTGACGGCTAAAAAGACTTTGCCATGGTACATATGTTTCCTCACACCCATTACTGTCCGGAAGAATCTCTGAGGCAAGATGTTTCACTTCCCTAGTTGGTTTCCGAACTGAAGTCTTCCTCACTGCAGAGTACATATGTCATTATGCAATGGATCTCAGTAAATACTGATAGAAAAAGGCTTCCTTAGCCTGGCCGCTTTGATAATTGTAAGGTCCGAACAGGTCCGGCTGAACAGCACAGGTCGATAAGCCCTGTCTGAACCATCCTTAATGATTCAAATTTCAAAATGCTGTTCAACCATGAAAATGCCGGACTGTAGGCCGAACCTCGAAATCTGCCAGTTCTAATGTTTGGAGTAGATGTGACTCCCGTTAAGTACTATGTTCCCATACACTCAGATTTTCTGAAGTCTACAGCTATTCCGGTGCTATTTACATACGAGCAAAGCCACCTGATCAACTACCAACATACGAGCAAAGTCTGGAATTCTCAAGGGAGCCCGGTTTTTAAAGCTGGATGATTTGTGAGTAGGGTAGACTTAGTCGCACTGGGGAGACTACAGTCGTTAATCTGTTACTGTCTGTGCTGATTGCCTCCTCTCGTCCGTTCGTCCGGCTGCTCCATGCCTTATGGGTGTGAAGTCGTTTCCTTACCAAGCCTACGGCCGAACTGTTGAGCAGACGTTTAATCGATCACCTGCTTCAAGGTCATTGGATAAAAACAGCAGGCCAATCAAATGTGCGCTATGCGACTGTACGGAGTAAGTTGCAAATAACCTCGTCCAGTCAAACCGAATTTAGTTCATTGGGACGCGACATCCGAGGTAGTCCCGAAATGATTTCAGTTGATAATCCGACAGGATAAAAATTGTCATTTTCTGTCTGTTTCGAGTGGCTTACGAGTTTCCGGAAATATGCTACAGGCAACAGCATCACTGATTGCTGAAGCTCGGGGCGAGGAACAAGGACGATTGCTCCCGTACATGGGAACGAAACGCGAAGGCAGTAGCGTAGCCAGTTATCCCAGCAAACGCGACTACCAGCGACGCATTGGATTCAGCGTTACGGTTCGTTTACGCAATCGTGTTTGTTCGGATAGTTGCCTAAAATTCGTATATCTGTCTTGTGCAACACTAGTTTCTGCAAGCTTCATCATCGAATGCATACTCTTACACCTGATTGTCGTACCCTACCTATCTGAATCCGTTTTCGAGCCGGGTATTTGCAAGTACAATGGTTCTCGGCGAGATGACAGTCCCAAGAAATGCGAAAACAAATGTTCAAAGGAACGATCCTCGTTCCCCTGTCTCCAGATTCGGGTGGTTTTCACACCTTTGCATGTGGATCCTAATCAGTCCCATCATAATCAAACCGGTGACACGGACGATCGGGAATTATCTGCTACACTTGACTCTGTGATTCGCAATCAGCTGGATTCTCCGTTCGCGTCACACTGGATACCTCAACAAAATGAGGACATACCTGTCAATGCTCGGTACAACTTCTCTTCTCCAGAGTCACGTGTTCTGTACCTATTCGATTACTTTAGCACATTCGCTGCCCACAAAGCTAGTCGGGTGAGTTTGCATTCTGCCTCGATTTTCCGTGAATCTCGTCAGAACAGCTTTGCTAGAAGGTGGAATTTTCTGGCATCGGTCTGAAACAAAAAAAACGCCTGTTCCATAGGTAGTCACATTCGGAAGACAGAACTTTGGGCTACTAACCAGTACTTCCACAATATGTCTGCCCGTAGTCAACAGATTTGTATCATGTTTAGTTAGTAGAGGTTTGGTACGGTCGGGAAACAATTCATGAACTAATTTTTGGCGCAGATGAGATGCTTAGGCGATGCCTTTTTTTCATTCGGAATCTTTATACAACGCTTCGAGGTGTGTGGATGGTATTCTTATCAGTTTTCTTCCATTCCTGTTGAAGAACACACATCAACTCAGTTCTGCAGTCAGTTGTAAATTCCAACACTTTTTGACTTGACGGTTTCCTAGGTTAGTTAGTCTGTAAGTTAGTTGAGATCATGATTGTAACTTGGCTACTCTGGTACCTTGATGTCACGAAACAGGAGCCAGTTCCTTGTCAAGTTTGGGTGCAGTGTAGCCGTGTGTTATTTTGTTAAACTGCCATCTGTTTCTCGGAGGCTTACTGAAACGCTTCAACCCCTTGGGACAAGGTGGCTCAAGTGGTTAGAGCGCGAATTTACTGACCGGAAGGTCCATGGTTCGAAACCGACCTCTGCCTCTCGACTTCCCCTGCNTATATATATATATATATATATATATATCGAAAACGTCAAGAATCTCGAATATCGTACCAAATGAAACATGGGGCAGTCTTTGTGTAACACATTCAGTTGAAGAAAACCGCCATAAAGGAGATATTCTGCTGGGATTCAGTCGCGTTCGACAAGTAAGGACAGCAGACCTTATATTAACGATTGAATTGTCTTCTGACGAGTGGCGCGGCCGAAATCCAATCAGTCATTTGAACGTTGAGGCAGATGCGCACTGTGTAGTTTTCATTGAACTATTTTGTCTGAAAAATATTTTGTGACATGACTGGTCTGCATCTTTTTATGCTTGCGACCCCTGGTTGAAGCGGACTCTGCTCACGAAATTTGCATTACAATAATCTCGCGGTTGAAATCGATTGCAAATGAAACTTCTGGTTCAAATAGAACATAAGGTTGACGGAAACTCGGGGATTGCGCCTACCTGATGAGTCCCAAGAAGGGCGAAACCGGTCGTAGGCTGTCGAAGAGATTTCAGCAACCTTGTGAGTAGTTTCCTTAATGAAAACTTCTAAATTGAATCAGCGGTCATCTTCCTCATCGTCGTCAGCATTGAAAACAACGCCAGAGAAGAACAGTGATACTACACTGTTGTGTCAAAATTTGATTTCACGGCCTTCTAATGCAGGGTGTTTGCTGCAAGCTCCTGCTAATCGTTCGTACACAGCGAGTCTAAAGTGCTGTGGGTTCGACAGCAGTGGTCGCCTATGCATCTACAACTATTCAGGAATGGATGTGATCATGTATAAAAGAACCAGGATGCAACGACCAGGGATAGTAGATGACACATTTTATTCTCTAGACGCTCGTCAGAACAATGACATGATTTCCGGATGACCGTCAGCGGTCAAGTCGAGGGTAGTAAATCGATATGGAAGAGGACATTTCATATGGGGTTTCCAGTTTTATTTTGGAGTGGCCTCGCAGCATACTAAGGCTCACGAGCCCCAGTCACACCTGAAGAACTGACCGGACGTTGATTGGTCCACAACATGTACATGCACTTTTTATGGAATAGAATTCTGCTGATCTACTGCGGGTGTTGGTGCTGAACCATTTCTGGGACTAAAGGCATCCACACCTTGATCACGAGGTAAGTAGACATGAGGAGGAACTTACGGACTCTGTTGCATGATAAAACTTGTGGCGGAGTACGTTCTGCGTGCTTCTTTTGCAAGCGACGAGCATGTGTTGGTCTTTAAAAATCATACACAAAGGCGCTTGTACATCCCAAACAAACCTGACAAATGCAGGACGAAGAAATGTATGTTGGTGGACGGGCAAACAAGGTTGGAAAGCCAAATATGAGGCTTCCAAACTAATGGACAACTTGTTTGATAGAGGTGAGAAAACACCTACACATTACATTTCACAAACCTGAGGTTGTTGTTTTAGGGAATTGGAAAAACCTAGTTGGACCTGCTCTGTCTTGTCGTACTGGCCTACGGGAGACGGGTGGTTGCCTTGAAAGCGTGTAGCATCTGGCAGAACGAAGTTCGCCTTGAACGTTCTACAAAATACAGTCCCTTAAAACAAATTGTCTTCTCCCTTCATGTTAAAATTGATCAGTTGTCACATTCTCTCGGCGCCCTGTTGGCCTGCCACCCGAAGGAAGGAAGAAGGCTGAGATCCTTCCAGGTTTCCTAAGCCTAGACAGCAGCAGTTGAGATACCGGGGTTAGGTTCCAACCACAGACCTTCTTGTCGGTGAGTTCGTGCTTCAAACATTGAGCGACCTTGAGCTCCCCTACATGTTCTATGAAGGAATCCCAACTGTAGCCTAATACCACCAAGATACTATGAGCAGCATTTCGAATTATTCGTGTCATAATCTCAATTTCCAAGAGATATTTTGTTCTGCGAGTGAGTCGCTCAGTCGTCCTGAGTGGTAATCACAAACACCTGTTTTGATCAGCCAGAAGTGCGATGGAATCGTACACCAAGTAGCAAATTTACATGTCAGAAAAATTAAAGAACCGGAGAAAATATACACCAAAAAAACGAATAATTTTAGTGACAGTACAGACGTTTGTGAGTACAACAACCACAGATGTTGTACAGCTAACAATTAACAAACTGGGTATTACGGTTTTTCTAGAGCTATTGACCCTATTAATTGATCATTTCTTGTTCTAAGTCGTACTTTAAATTGTTTTGGTGCAAATGAGGCGGTAAATTTTCAGTTATCCCACTTTTGGGAGACCAGACGTTGCATATTCTGTCACGAATGGAAGTTCATGGATTGTGAGTGGCTGATCCTTAGTCTAGCGGACAGTCCGGAAACTGACTGGAACATTTATGTTTCGCGGAAAGAGGATCGGGATATGAACGTATGTGCCCCCGGTTTCAGTGCGACATGGGTAATAACTGCATAACTGAGAAAGTTATGTTTCAAATCCACTGATCATCATCATCGACGCATGACATCAGTGTTCAATACCGATGCTTCACTGCCGTACTGGTTGTGCGAAGGCCGGGATACTGCCAGGGCGCCCACGCCTAAACAGCAGGACGATTAGGGTCCTCAACCAAAGCCTTTGGCTCAAAAGCCTAACCGCAAGGCAGCGGTGTTTAGCGGGAAATGTAAATGCACTACCATTTCTACGGAACAAATGGCCACATGTTCCAAAACCCAACCTGGATGGTCAGGAGACTGTGTTCGTCAGACCTCTAACCATTGACCAACTTGGTATGAGAGACTCTGTGAGTGTCACGGGGACACTGCTCAGTATGGCTCAATAGGTCGATGAGGTGCGCAAACCGTCACACCACGGTGAGGTCCAGTCTTTTCGTGACAGAAATCCACTGGAGTCGGCCCACGGAAAGCAGAGAGACTGGCGATTAGAAGAGGTCATAATCGGTCAATTTTGTGGGAGCGATGAAGCAGTTCACAACTTATCGCCTCTGTTGAGAATCACCAGTGCATGTAACTCGTTGGTGTGTACTGTGCTGTTTCTAAACTACCGGACCTCTGTTCTTTGAAGTTGCCCCTGTAGAGTCGGGACATGGATAGCGTCACTTGATCACAAATGATACGCAGCTTCATATCATTTGCCTTTTATTCCTATGGAATTTAGGCTTTGTACTGAGCAAACAGAACATATGTTTGTTTGTGTGCTTAGGTAGTATGGCTTAAGTGGTTAGAGCGCGAATTTACTGACCGGAAGTTCCGTGATTCGAACCCGACCGCTGCTTCTTGACTTCCCCTGTCTAGGGTTGGGCAACCTGACAGTACCCCAGCCTTCGTGCTTCCTTCGGGCACATTGGCAGCTAGGCACTAGAAGGGTGTTACAGCTGAACTATTTGTGTGTGCCTACTAAGCACTAGAGTAGCTAGAAAGAACTTAGTCCTACAACAATGTTTAAGACCCAATTCGACCAAAAGACTGGGTACCAGAGGTCTGCAATGAAAATATTATGTATTATATATCATTTGTATCAACGAACCAGATTCTCTACAATGAAGTAAAACTGAAATTATTAGGCCGTGAGCCAGACATTGCTGTGCAATCAGGCGATAAAGTGTCAGTAGCTGTCGTAACTTCGGCACAGACATTCGGAGGTACTGAGATGAGTAATGAGGGCCACGGGAACAATGGAAAAATTTGCCAAAAAGTGGAGCGCCTTCAGTTCTTTTGCCGTCATACATGATGTACTAATAACGATACTAAGAGCAGTATTTCAGACACAACACCCTTCCTGCGCCTAGTTTCCATGCTCTAGAAGAAAAAATGATGGCTGAGATGTTTCCAGACTGCCCAATCCTGGGCAGGAACACACGAGATGCAGGGTTTGGATTCGAACTACGGACCTGCCTGTCAGTAAGTTCGTGCCTTGGCCATGAACTATCGCGAGCTCACACATCACATGTCATATGAATTGCTAAAAAAAAATACGCTGGTCAATGGGAAATTCGTAACAAAAGCCAACATATGATTGTGTTTCAGTTATGAAATACCCCAAATATGGACCACAAATGTGTTCGTAAAGGCCGGTATTCTTAGGGTCTACATTGCAATACATAGTGGTCTCTAAACAAACTGTTGTATCGTGGGTGGCCGTCTTGTTTCCAGACTGCCCAATCCTGGACAGAAACACACGAGATGCAGGGTTTGGATTCGAACTACGGACCTGCCTGTCAGTAAGTTCGTGCCTTGGCCATGAACTATCGCGAGCTCACACATCACATGAATTTGATAAAAAAAATACGATGGTCAATGGGAAATTCGTAACAAAAGCAAACATATGATTGTGTTTTAATTATGAAATACCCCAAATATGGACAACAAATGTGTTCGTAAACGCTGGCATTCTTAGGGTCTACATCGCAACACACAGTGGTCTCTAAACAAACTGTTGTATCGTGGGTGGCCGTCTGTCGGTTACGCCTGCACTGAGCCTGCCAGAATACGCAATAAGAAGACAGAGAACTCCGGACACCACTCAATTGTCAGGACAAAACATACAGAGCTTCTGCGTAAATATATAGGATAACTTAGTGGCCAAATGTGGTCGTTCACTTGTTCGTTCTGTACAGCCAATGGCGGTGCTCCGGTCATGAATACTTTCAGGCCCACTCCGCTGGTCGTATGTTGCTAAGCCGTGTTTGGTGTGCTCCGCCAACGCTTTCCGAAACGTGTCGTACCGATGGTGACCTTGGGGATGCGTCACTCTCTGTACATGTGCTTTTTTCATGTCTGGGCGCGTCCTGACACAGACGCTGAACACTCAACCTTATCGAAAATTCCCTTGTGATAACGGAAATCTCTGACTTTACAATATAATTAAATACGCACTTCCTCAACAGTTGGCCGTCCGAAATGGACAGCATTCGAACTCTGGTTCCTGACCCATACTCCGTTTGCGGGCACCAGAATGGTGTGGATAGAACGTTGGGTCCGAAGTCTATGAAACCAGCACAGTAAATTAAGAAAAACCCTGAAATCGTCGACTTAATCCACCAAGACTTATCCTCCAACAGGGGTGCGAGTCACTGTCTCCATTGATTCTCAGTGGTGCCGGCAATGTAATCTCCATTAGCACTAGAATTCCCAGACTGTTCTCAGGTACTTGGCACACCGCCTATGCCTTTGTTGTTTTTTCCTGCGATATTCGAGATAGACAGGCGCTACCACAGTTGCACTTGCAATGTGGATAACCTGATGAGCCGCTGAGACGTCCTTTACCCCTTGCATTCGAGCAAACGGTCCGATACCAAAACGGTGTCCTTCGTTGGCACCCAGCAAAGTCTGCAAGTTAATTGGCGTGCTCGACGGCCAGATCACTTACCACCTAGTTTTGGGTTAAGCCTAGTCCATGACCCCGGGATCTACTCACAGTGCATGAAGTAGACCGCATTCACGCACTTAACACCGAGACGCGCGTGTATGTGTTGACGGCGGTCCCCATTATTTTGTGCAAGAACTCGTTTTACACAAGTAGTCCAAGTTTTATCTTGATAGGTGAACCTTTTGTGTGTTACCTGAAGCAGCCTCATCGTCATAATATGCCCTGGGATATAGGTTACATAGATCACTAAACTAGCGTAAACCTGGCTTGCTGAGTTGCGGTAGGCTGACTGCAGCCTACTCACCATGGCCTGGCTCATGTCTGAACAGTTTATCCTGCGTAGGCAAGCCCATCGTCCCACGGCGGTACGCTTATGTGCCGGCTTGGCACACAGGCATGAGTCATCGGCAATGCGATTGTGAGATCACGGGCAACCTATGCATCTGATCTTAGGTTGCTTGCATATGCCGAGGGGTATGGACAGCCCGAAACCCCCCAGGCTTAAGCCGATCGATGCGTGTGCTCACGTATCACCAGTAAGCGGGGGACTCTAGCATACAACACAGTTGTCTTGATAGATGCTGTTGACTGACTGAATATCTAAGTTAAATGATCGGTTGGATACACGAGAACGATTTCCAGTTTTCCCGAAGTTGAAAAATTCTGAATACACACTTCGTTGGATGCATTCAAACTTGTCATCAGTGATAAAAAAATTTCAGTGTCGCAGTATGATACCAGCGATGCCTTGCAAGTGCCAGTCGAATTAATGGCCTTCATCGGACCACGATAAGCATGTCAACCATACAGGAAGCGTGATTCACATCACTTTTTTTTACGGAGTGACAATTCTGGTTCGCAACTATACTACACTTCTGAGTTTCATGAAGGAAATGTTTTTGTTAAATTTGGCTTGGCCATTGCGTAGGCCGAACTCTGTAAACAAGTTTGGAGAAACTTGAACTATACGGGAAATATTTCGATAGAAAATGTTGACTTCTCTTACATTATTTACGGAAAGAGATTCGCAAGGTAAGCCAGTATACACCTTAACGATCGTCGTATCCACTGGTCTGGTTATAGCAATAGAAGTAAACGTCTTCGGTCCACCGGAATGTAGACCACAAGTCCTTAGGTTCAAGCTTTTGCGAGTTAGTTTCAGTTTGTGCTTTCGGTATGCGACACCATCTTCGTCCAGTTTCTGACATACTCTGTTGCTTGGTTGGCCATTTCCGCCATTTCGCCTCCGCCCCATCTTTAGGCTTGAAGGACGCAGCTGTTCGGTCCGCCAGAGGACACGGTGTCGCTTCCGAAGTGGGCCAATCGTAGGAGCCTGTCGCTATTTTGAGATATCCAATCAGAAAAATGTATGATGAGGTGGTCTCACGGAGTCGGGGTGAGCAGCAGCGGCCACCAGTGATCGATAGACAAGTGATAAACAGCTATTATTACCATCAACATCCCTCAACTGTCCAAAGGAAGCTGCGTAGTTGTAGGTGACTATGGGATCTTCAAAATTAGTACCACTCTCGTCTGACCTCCTCCTCTCCGACAGCTATCATTACCATCAACAGTCCTTAATTGTCCAAAGGAACGCCGCGTAGTTGTAGATGGCTATGGAATCTTCAAAATTCGTACCACTCTCGTCTGACCTCCTCCTCTCCAAGCGCAAGTACTCCGGTTGTGTAGGCTTTGGTATATCTGTCTCAAAACGCTTCAAATTTTCACGTGTTAGGAATAACGGGGGGATCCCTCAGGTTGGCCTGGTTATACAAAACCGAAACGAAACCGGTCGTGGGTTGTCGAAGGGTTTTCAGCAACCTCATGAGTAGTGTATAGCGTCACACCACAAGGTCACGAGTGGACGATGAGAAGCATGGTTAGCGTTTTAGAATAGTTTATTACCCTCCTATTTGATCGATGTGAGTGAGCCTCAATGACAATTTTCATAACGAATTGGACATGTACAGTAGGACAACTTCGTAGGATGAGATGGCCTTGGGCCATAAACGAGTGAAGTGAGTTAAAATGTAAGAGGGCCGATTGATGGACGATTCGCACTGCAAGTTCGTGTAATTATTCTTGGGATTCATTGCCACTACAGTAGCAGTTGCCTAGGTGATACGAAACTCACTAAGGGAAATATTGATTTTTATTGCGAATGCAATTGTACACAACCGATTAATTTAATTTCGCCACCGGGAGTATAATGGAAAGATCCACCTGTTCATTCACGCATTCAGCGTCCAATCCATAGTGTAATAAGTTGGAAAATAACGAAGGTGACACGCTTTTCTTCAAGATTAGTTTCGTGTTCAATTTCGCCACAGGTAGTGTAATGGAAAGAACACCTGTTCATTCACGCATTCAGCGTTCAATCCATAGTGTAATAAATTGGAAGGTAACACGCTTTCCTTCAAGATTAGTTTCGTGCGAAGTGCGAGTAATGCTCCCTTATTCTCTTTCCCCCCCTTTAGTGTTCAACGAGTCCTTGCCACCGACGAGAAGAGGATAACAAAGACGCTGTGGAAGACTTCAAACGCGTCCTATGGAGACAGCATATATTCTTGTGCTATGCACGTCCAAGGAAAGCTCCCCACTCGACAGAACCCCATAACCAAGTCGCAGGTATCAACCAACCTGGATTGGTTACCACGACAACGAGCACCATCTTGGATCTCGAAGAAACCACTCAGTCGCCAGTGTGGCAAAGAAGAGATCCGAAAGATGCTGCGGCTATTATTTATCGACTCTATACGCCGACAATGTTCTTCCACAGCCTGTGTTGGCCCGGTGGAATTTTTCTGAGTGCCCTAGTGATACTCTTGTTTACCTACTTAGCAGATGGTTGTCAGGCATGGGCAAGAGATAAGACTGTGATTGCATGATGCATATGGACCGATGGATATTGTGCTATTCTGCCGAATAGATCCTGGAAGATGCTCAATTGTAACTCACCGTTAATTGTGTCGACGACGACAGCTTGTATATGCGTAAGCACCTCACCGAGCGGTGGCCCTGTTATTTGTGGTCTGGTATGAATCTGAAACAACCATTGACATTGTTAGATACCTTAAACCCTTATCTGCCATCAGCGTGTCTACCGGACGTGAATCACACCAAGATCACATTTCAAAACTGCTAACTGCTGTCAGAAGTACTCCGTGACTTTACACTATATACAACATTTGTATTCAAAACCCCCCAGTCTGTATTCACTGGCAGAAACCCACCACCGTAGACAAGAGTGACACCTAGAGTAACCCTATAAGTACCATGTTGTTCTATGAAAAAGACTAACAGTTGTACATTTTGACCACAAAATACTTTGTTATTAAATTCGGAGATATCGTTTGATGAGTATGAATTTTACGCAGACTATAATCTTCTTTTGTTGGTGGTTGACCAGATTGCTGTTGACCCGTTCGCCGAGCTCAACAACTGATTTTCACACGTTCCGTCATCATTCGAAGAGACATCATCAGTGTGCTGCTCGGTGGGTAGATTCCCTCGTCGTGTCTGCGCTTATATAGTTTGCAAAATGTAGTGTCAGATCGTAACCTGATTGGCTATTGATAATCACCTCACTCGGAGTCTGATTGGTTCGATCTAAATGGTACCACTATAGTTGGCCAGATTTGAGAATAATCGTTACTCCTGGTGGGGAATAGTCAGAGCTCGGATTTTCCATCCAAAAGTTGACGAACTGTCGGATCGTTTCCATAGAATTTCAAACGTTAGTTACGATAACAAACGGTTCAGCAGAGAAAAATGAGGTGCCCAACACTTCTAATATTTCTGTATTGCTCAGGCTTTTTCAACAGGCTCCGAATATAGTGGTTTGGAATTCGGTCCGAGAACTATCTCGGTCGCTGTTGTTCGATCTCGTGGCGAAGTTTTTCAGCCCCAAACAGCCAACGCATTTGGTTGTTGTGGTGACATTAACAGCGGTCTTTGTGAAGGTGTCCATTTATAAGGCTAACACTTGCACCAAACGCACCCAGGTAGTAGCTACAGTCGAGTCTTTTAGTACTTTTCTAAGTAGGTTTTGGTCTGATGTCATCTTCCCAAATTTAGCAAACCAAAAAGTGTTATTGTGCTACGTACGATTAGTGGAGTGTGTGTGCTAGTGAGGTTAGTACTGGGTTCACGTTAGGGAATTCTAGGTTGACGAAAGCAAAACGAACCGTGACGAGGATGGATTTATTGTCAACATTCATTTTATGTTCGGTAAGATGTGCACCAAATATACTACTTATCGGTGGTGCCATTTCTAGAGTACGTTTATACTTGTAAGTGGAACGCTGTGCACAAACAGCTTGAGTCCCTTATATTCTTTGTTCTTAGCATCTTGGTCCAGTGGGTGTTGGAACACATCAATTAAACATCACTCTACCATTATGCTTGCCCGTGTTCCGTTTTGAGCTTCAATGCCGACAGTTCATTTAGACCAATATGGCAACGTAGTTAAATGCGTGAATGCGGTCTGCTTCATGGACCGTGAGTAGATCCCGGGGTCATGGATTAGGCTTAAGCCAAAGTAGAGTTGTAAGTGATCTGGCCGCCGATCTTGGGAACTAACTTGCAGACGTTTCGTCACCATTATAATTCCTTCATGTTTTATTGGATTCAAACGAAGGACATCGATTTGGTATCGGGGAGCTTGCTCGAATACAAGGGGTGGAGGACGTCTCAACGGCTCATCAGGTTATCCACATTGCAAATACAACTGTGGTAGCGCCTGTTTATCTCAAATGTTGACTGTCTCACACACATCCATGCAGTAATCTCTTGAAAATGTTAAACTCGGCGAATGTACAACATTGGGAGGTAGGGAGTTCCAAATGAAACATACGCGGACCGCAAAAAAGTTCCGTCGGAAGTTCACCCTC